CGGCCAACCTAGGCCGGGTGTGCTCAAAAACCCCGAGCAGGAACCAAAGGAAACCCCCGACTAAAACGGACAGAAAAAAGTCGGGCACCCTGATTCTTTTTCCTCTCTACTGGAAAACCTAGGTATCGTTTGAAGCAAGGAGCTGAACCTTTGAGTGATTGTTTCAAGGAGTTTAGCAGCGACCGGTTTCGCTGAATTTGATGTGTTATTGTCCCCTGTGATTGGACATGTGTTTTTTGCAGGGAGTTCAGATGGAGGGTATTCGAGCACATTGAGTCCGAGGGCATGCGCTCGGGAAGGTCGTCCCTTTTTTTCATCGGCCGATTTTTAAGGTCAGCTTCCTGAGATGGAAGTAAATAAGCATTTCGAGTTGACATGAATTGCCGGTGGCATGTTCAGCCAGCTTTCGGTTGAAAGTTGAGTCCGTGCATGCGGCTCGTACCCCTGTGACTCGCATTTCACGCCTTTGGATGGCCTTCCCAAGCCCTTCGAAGCCTTCAGCGCGGGGGGGAGTAGGAGGTTTACATTTTCGTGTAGGGAACCTGACCTGAGATGAAAAGAAATTCATGTTGCAACCAGTTGAAGCATGTTGCTTTTTCCAAAAAGAAAGGGAAACACCGCCATTTACAAGTTGCAATGTTCGATCGGTGTATGCATCCGGATCCCTGCTGACCTTTCAGGGTCCGGGTTTGGACAACTTTCCTTATAGCCTGGGTTCCATGGCATCGTGAAGGAAATCCGTGCGCATCCGCGCGCCATCCCCTAGTTTGTTGAAGAAAAGGTGTTTTCTACTAAACCCCCCAAAAGTGAAACTCACTTTTTGCAGGGGGGGTCAACAGCAGCAACCAAGTCTTGAAGCATCGTTTATAGCTTGCCTCCTCCTTGGAGACTTGGAAGCCCGGGACCGAACATAACCATGGCTTCGCACGCGTAGCAGCCCCTGAGCTCGACAGGGTGGGGCCCCACCAAGTCAGCTCTCCGCGGTGCGGGTCTGAGATTTTTGAGCCGTTGCTGGTCCATGAGGTGTGTTTGTTTCACTGCGCCCTAAAAGAAACACGAGAAACCCAAAACATATTTGTTTAAAGAGAGGGCCAAAATGAAGACATGGTGTAGGGCCACACGAATTTTGACAGTTTGTCACATACCTTGAAAGAAGGCCGGCCTTTGTCCATGGAGCTTTGGGTCTCGTATTTCAGAGGTCCTCATTTCTGCTTCTGGTTCAGGGGGTCGACACCACTTTTGGGCCAAGTGTACTTGACCTTCTTGTGGCCGGCGGGGTGTTAGTTGATCTCGTGGTTCCATACCGCGCAAAGTTGGGGTTGATGACCATTTATTTAGTTGACAACACACACATAGAAAAATGTACGTGTATATATACATATTAATGTATGAGTATGTAGATGTACAAATTGATTTCTCTGAGAGCTGTGGTTTGGCGACTTCGTATTTCTTCAAAAGCCAGTTTTGTGCCCTTGGAATGATCCTGCACCATCCTAGTTGGTTCTAAAGAGAATCTGTCACTTGGCTTACATCCAGTTTTAAAAAAACAATGAAAAAAGCAAGAAACAACTATCAGGATATGGAGCGCATGGTTTAGTCCTTGTTTTCATTTGTTAGGGCAACCCGTTTTGGGTACCTGTTTTGGCCCACAGGGGAAGAATGCACTTGAATATGGCAATCGGCCTTACACAGGGTCCTGCCTTTTAGGTGACTCGCCCAACGGGGCTTTGGCCGCTGCAGCGCTGGAGAAGATTGACAGGCCGATCGGGAATGTTTGCCGTTTTTTTGTTTTTGTTTTTTTTTTTGGGGGGGGGGTTGCAGTGTTATGCAGTGCCAGCTGACCAAGCAGTTGATCAAGAGCCGTGGATCTCACATCCCCGGTATTGTACATATTGTTATAAGCAAAACATATGCAAACATTTCATGAATTGTATATACACACACATATATATATAGATGTGTGTATGTGTATATTTATATATAGAGATGTGTGTGTGTGTGCATGTGTATAACATGTATACAACTATCCCCCACTAGAAATGGAGGGGATGTTGGGCAAAATGTGGCTTTCGAAGGCTTTCCTTTCTAAAGCTTGGCTTACCTTTCGAAGGCTTCCCCGAGAAAACCCAGGGAAGACTTGTCACTTGGGCCGCTTTGGTGAACCGCCCCGCCTTTTCCCAGGCCCACAGCGCAGGAGCCGGCCAGCGCTGCTCAGGCGAACGGGGAGGGATGCCAAGGGAAGTAAATCCACCCGCCCTCCAATGGAAGCTGACCACATATTGGAAGAACGTTAGCGCTGGTTTCAACCATGCAGCTGAAGGCAGCGGTGCAGCAAGCATTGGAAGAAGGCTTTCCCGAGATTCCTGTCTGTGAGTGTAAAGCCATACCCAGTGGGAAAACCTTGGGTCAAGAGGGGTCCCGTCCAAGGATTCCCGCTGCGAAGTAGGGGGGATGGAAAGCTAGGATTCTTTTTGCCGATCGGGACGTGCAGCATGAATGGGCTGCATGCTTCCTGAAGCCCACAAAGCCTACATTTTTTCCGGGAAGCTCGTCTTCCAGGACCCTTCCTGTGAGGTTCTGTTTGTGGGGAGGCTACTTACTGAGCCGGCTGAACCGGATTCGGTAGAAAAACCCTGAGTGCTTCCAGGTACCCACTGAAACCAGGGGAACCATCATATAAAACCCTAGGGTAAACATAACCTGGCTACCTACTACTAGTGTTGGCTGGCATAGGGAAATGGAAGGAGTTCGATGTATGATTCATTGTTCTCCGGTGGGTTACCTTGTTACCCCCTCCCAAACCCTCCCCGAGGTACAAATTGCTAGCTGAAGGGTTCCGCAGGTTCGCATACCCCAAGGGTTCATGCAAACAGAGGACCCCTCCTCCCAAAAAAGGCAAGAGGAACCAGCATAGAATCGCCTCTATCGAGAATGGGCAGTCGGGGTTGGGCAGCCATAGGAAAAGGGAGGGTGATGCCATCCATACCATGGACACGAGTCTGTTTTGCAACCAGGAGCCCTAAAGAACCAATACCCTAGCCCTAAGACTTGATTGATCTTGGGTAGCAGATTTTTAGACTTCAACTTGTTGGTTGAAAACAAGGATTTTCCGTATTAACCCACCAAAAGCGATTTGCGTTTTGCAGAGGGGTCAACAGCAACCAAGAAAAAAAGGTGGTCGCAATATAGACACTAAGCGGCCCATAGGGTTACCCTCCCCCCAGAGAAACTTCTATTTGCTTAAGAATCTTTTGTTTATTTCCCCTTGTTGGTATTCACGTTGGAATCGAATTTACTACTGGAAAATATTATCATTTTGGTCCAGGTGGCTTCAAGAGCAAACGAACTAATTAACAGAAAAAACAACAGAAGGATAACAAAACGAGGAACAAATTCAGGGGGCTTAGAGAGCAAACGAACTAATTAACAGAAAGAAAAAACAAAAGAAGGAGAAGCAAAAGAGGAACAACTCCAGGGGGCTTCGAGAGCAGATGGAAGGACGCGAAACCAAAAACCGACGCATCGCCAGGCGCCGGGGGTGCAACTTTGCGAGGGCACGAAGCTGACAGAAGCAGCTGCCGCCGCGGCGAAGGCGTCGACCGGGTCGACCGAGGTTGAGGTCGTATGCGTGCGTCGCTATTCTTTTTTTTTTTTGGGGGGGGGAGGAGGGCCACACCCGAAAACAAACACATGGCCGTGGCTTTAAAATACCCAAAATGGCCTTTCCAGGACCTGCGTAACCCTGGCTCTTAAATTTTGAGCTATACCCACCTGGTGCCCTGCTGGTTTTGGCTTCAAGAAGGCCATTTGGGTGTTTTGGAACACCTCTTAGGCCAAGTTTTCTCTTGGGGCGGTGTTTAAACGGGAATTGGGCCTCACCAGGGATCACTTCTGGGTCTCACTTCCGAGACTCTTTTTGGGAAGGCCACGTCAGTGGCAAACAAGCGGTTTGGACTTTTTGGCCGGGTTGCAGAAAATCCAATTCTCGGACCATGGTTGCGTCGTTCTACTCGCAGGGTTCTGTGAGTGATCGACGTGGGCTACTTGGCGTTGCCCCCGCGTCAGGGGAAGAACCTCGGCGCTCAGAGCTCGTCAGGGGCTCGTTTTGATTGAGTTGCCGGGTCGCCAACAGTCCGGTGAAAAATGGCTGTGGCTCAAAAACATGTACCAAAATTGGCACCTTGGTAAATGGAACCAAAGACTAAAACGCGCGTAACCCCAGCTCTCTATTTTTGAGCCACGCCCAAATGGGGGGATAGCTTTGTGGTGAGGCGGGATTCCTCGCTGGGATCCTTGGCCTTCCATCCCCTTTGCAGGAATTGTGCCATCTACCTTGCCAGGGTACCCACTTTGGGGTTGAAATAGAAACCGAAAAGAACCCCCTTGAGGGGGTTCCCCTGTTTTGAGACAATCCCATATGACAGTCATTCCAAGAGTTGTCGGGAAGGTCTCTTTTGGCAAACATCAAGTTTGCAAGGCAATGTGCTTCAGGCACATCATCCGGAAGCATGTGGTTCTTTCGCGCCCAATGGCGATGCGTGAGCGCTCGCCCGCTAACCCTGGTTCGAAGGATTTTGCGGAAGATCCAAATCACCATGTGCCACGGAATAAAGCTGGGAACCCCTGTTCATATTGAGAACTACTCATTCGGGGGCGTCCGGCGATTTGTTGCATAGCCGCATCTTGCGTTTTACTTAAGTGCCGGCTTGCAAGGGGCAGATGTCCCACAGATTGGGACCTTTGGCAACTTTACATGTCGTGTCAGAGACTGGAACTGTACAAAAGTGCAGACAACATGCAGGCAAACTTTCCCTATGGGAGGAAAACCACTTACGCGAGGGAATAGTTGATGCCCTCAGCAAAGGCATTGCTGTCACTACTCAAGGGGTTGAAGGTGTTTTTTTGACAAACCTTTGTGGCACGTACCCGTCCAGATTGTTTGTTGTTTGGTTACCTCATACCTCACACCCCCAGTTCCGCCAACACGTTTTGGCGTTTCTGGCTAAAGAGGTGAGTTAGGGGTCCCTTGCGCAAGTCAGACTCGCGATTTGTCCCGGGCCATTTCTTGCCATGGGCAACTGCGGCTGCTTCAGCTTCCTGAAGGAGCACTTTTCAAAAGCGGGCGAATCTCCTGTTGGATGTCCCGCTCCTGCCAACGTTCTGGGTCGATTGGCGAGGATGTCCGAGCCAATTTCCCTTTTTGGAATCTCCAGAAGTGGCGGTCGTTTGAATAGAAACCGCCAGTAAATGGTAACCTTGGGGAATCCAGTGACCCCTGTCGACCTAAGCCTGTCTGTTCATTGGATTTCCCTTACGCCGGAGCTCTGTCTTTGGGTAGGTTGGCGCACTCAGCGGTGGTCAGTTGAGCACCCGTTACTTGGTTGCTATTGAGCCCACAAAACGTGTTTCACTTTTTGCACGGGTCGACAGCGACCGAGGGTAGTTGATCCCCGCAGGTTTTGCGCTTGAGTTGGATGTTCAGTGTACCTGATGGAACACCCGCGGTGCAGCATTGGGTCAGGGACATGGTGGGAAGAGCAACGCAGTTGTGTTCACGTCCTTTGCGGTTTGAGTTCGAAGGTTAGGGTGTCGTGTTGGTTACCCAAAATGGGGATGTTTTCTTTTAGGGCACCCACAAAATGGTGGTGTTCCTGTTTGTGCTCCTTAAAATAAACCAAACCACAGCGTACCCTCGAAAAAAGCCACACCCACAAATGGGATGTTTTTTTTGGAAGCCAAAAGGAAGACCTTGAAGCCTTTCTTTTGAGGCGCGCCGGTTTCACAACATCCGAAGTCAATAAAACCGGTTGGCCTGAAGCCGATGTTTCGGCCTGGCATTCACGGCAGGAGTTGCCTTCGCCGCCGCAAGACAAACCGAAACTGCCTGACTTGGCAGGCCAAGCGCAAGGGGAGTCGCAAGAGACCAAGCTTTGCCTTGTGAAGACTTTGGTGCATGTTGCCAAGGGATGTTAGGACTTTAACTTTTTGCATCTTTTTGCCAACTAATTGGTTTTCCATTCAACCACTAAAAGTTGAAAGCTTTTAGCAGGGGAGCAGAAAGCAACCGAGAAGAGTATCCTGGGGTTTAACCCCCCTTTAAACGAATGGTTGGCCCAATTTGGAGGATGAAAATCCTTAGTGCAAATAATGGTGGTTGTATTAACCCCCATTGTGCTAATGCTGGATTGAATCCCAGGCAATATGGGTGCCTCGTTTGTTTTTGAGTTGGTACTACTTCAATTTTTGGCGTGGGTTTTCAACTGGAAACCTACAGGACAACCGAAATCCACTTTGGAGAGGTGCCCTACCAAAATTTACACACCCATATGGTTTTTCTAGGGTACCTTCCCCATTCTTTCCAGGGATCCTTCTTTCCAGAAAACCTCAAGAAACCCAGGGGAAAACGGCAGGTTTTTGAAAAGAACGATGATTGAACCGAATGCGGAATCAACCCCTGGAGTTGTTTTTTTTGCTTGAGAAGATGTGCTTGATTTGTTCACTGTCCCGTACTATCCTCGTCCATACGACTTCCATTTGCGTTTCAGAATGCGTGTTTGTTTTCCCCGGGCTAAAAGGGGAATCTATCACTGTAAATATGTGCTCACTTGTTCTGGACGAAGAATGCAAACGGAGGTGGTGACCTTTTGGTTTCCCTTTGTTTGGTTGGCACAGGAAGACTTTGCTAGGCCTTTTCTCTCTTGCCCAAAGCGAATCGACCTTCTGACCTTTCAGTCAGGCGTCCATTCCCCCGTTTGGAACCTAAAGTGGCAGTTTCAAGAGGAGCCACACAATTTGAAGGGGAAGCCCAGTGACCCCGGTTGGTTTCCTCCTTTCTGGTCCCAAAAGGTCAGCTGAGATCAGATCCTTTCGGAGTTTTTTGTTCACCCTTTGGAACCTTTCGGCTTTTCCGGCTTGGTCTGCATGTCCTCCTATTTGGCCCAAAAGGGGGGGGGTAAAGGGGGGGGGTTAAGGCTTCATAACATGTTGGTCGTTCCCAAAGATTGACCTTGTGCTTGGGCGTTTGGGCTTCCTGGGGCTGGCTTCCCTCCAGCCCCCATAGCCATCTTGGAGGTCAGAGGGGACTATGAAGGTCCTGCACTTGGTCCAATTCTTATTTCAGGTGTGGCATAATGGTAAATGTGGATGCTTGCGAGATGTATTCAAAGGCAGCACGAAATGAAACCAACGTTGGAACCATAACCTTCGTTGGTACGTACAGGGGAATCGAATCAGAAACCATGCTTCTCATCTACAAACCGGTTTGGACACGCTTGTTGTGGATATCGCCTGTTGGCTCTTTTTGGACTCTTTAAATTTCCAGGTGGGTGGATCCGCGACCGCATCCAATCCGTTTCCCAGATCGGTCCAAGACCTCCGCCCACGTCCAGCGGCGCTTCGGAGCGGCTCGCCAGGTTCCAGCCCGCCGAAAGAGCCACGGGATGCATCGGGCAAGGGCACGGAGGAGCCCAGCGAGGCGCCAGCCAGTGTCTGACTGTTCTAGGTTTTCTCAGTGCCCTTTTGCAGTTTTTTGGTTGGAAGGGTTCCCCTACTGAAATAGACTACAGAAAAAAGAAACGGTAGCCTTATTCCAACCTTTGAAATTACTGGAGGACCTAGTGTTTGACCCTTTAGTTTCACCCTTTTCTGCGTTTTTTTTTTATCCTTTTTTTCTTGTCTTGGCCCCAGAAGGTTGACTTCTCTCTCGATGAAAAGGGTGTTCCGTTTGTGGGACCGCTGACCAAAAAGTCCTCACCAAACCATACCCTGCAGGCATGCTGGCACGCAAAGCGCACCTTCAAGCTCAGAAGTCAGCAAATACCAAAAAAACTCATGACATACCTGGAGTCTCCATGACCCTCAAATTATGGTTGGTCATGACCCCTTTTTGGGGAATGATCCATTTAAGGGTCATGGAGACAGCTACTCCAAATCCCACACCTGGAAACCTGGAAACCTCAGCCCAGGCGGAGGCAGAGGGGCCAGGAGCGGAGTGGATGGTGCGCTCGGGGGTGAGTTTGTGGACGACCTGGGATTGCCAGACCAAAGGCGAAAACCTTTTCTCAACTTCTTTTGCCTTTTTGGGGTTTCCATCATTGGCCGCCTGCGGCCAGCAAAAAGCGGGGGAGAAAAAAAAGCACTTCTTGCGGAGGGTCTCGGCTCGTCAAGGGATTACATGACATCTGGAAATCGCCTTCCAGCGAAATGAATCCACCAGGTCCCTTACAAGCGTTCTTCCAAAGCTTCTTGGTTAGTTGGCGGGGGCTTCCATTTGCTGAAGCGATGTGTTTCAGAAAAGCGGTTGACTTTTTTGGAGGGAAGCCAGCGCTACTGGCAACTGGACATATATTTGTTGCTTACTCCAAGGGTTCTTGGTTGGTGGACAAAGTGAGTAGCACCCAAAGGTTGCAGGAAACGCCTCTCATGTAATGTTGACCCCGGATTAAAGTCGCCCCTGTTTATTAATATGGGGGTGTTTTCGGTTTTAGTGGGGATTTATCACTTTTGGAGGGGAGCACCCCCATATTAATAAACAGGGGTTTATTAACCCGGGGTCAACATTAGCCAGGCGCGGGGCCGGGTTTGTGCCAGCCGCGATTCCCAAAGACACTTTGTCCGAATGAGTGTTCTTTCTTTGGTGGTACCCCTTTTTGGGTGGGTGTTCAAGGGGTCAAGAGGAAAATCAAATTTTGGGACACAACTGGGGAAGCCGCCTCCCCAGGAGACGATTTTTCGCAGTGGCAGCCCGGCAAGCATGGCGCCGCGGCAAGCATCCGCGAGCCGATGTTGGGCGGCTTGGGTGTGGCAAGCGCCCTCGAGGTTCGCAACATTCTTGCAGACACGATGTACGACGGATGATGAGGATGAGGATGAGGATGATGATGGTGATGGTGATGGTGGTGGTGGTGATGTCAATGATCATGATGATGATGTCGATGATGACGAAGGGGGAGCATTGTCCGTGTAAGATTTCAATATGAGGCAAGTTGAAACCATTGCGGCCCCAGGCGTCGCAGACATCTCGCCCAATCAGGCTGGCTGGGGGGCAGCCGGGTGCACTTGCGCATGCGTACATCTATTGGTTTTGAGCATCGAAAAGGACACATTAGTATAGGCTGACCAGGTGCAACGCATGTAGAAGTTTGCCCGACACGCACCAGCATTTGCTCAATATGTAGGTCAAAACACACGAGAACAAACATGCACAACATATATATATATATATCGGGTATATATATATATATATATATATGCATATATCATGTATTCACGGTTGTTGGCATGTGTTTATGTGTTTTAGGTTTGTTGGCTCGGTCCTGGGGGGGTTGGGGGGGGGGGTAAATAAATAACTGCCTAAATTAATAAATAAACAAGTAAAACATAGGTACACAAATGAATATGTATATGTATGTAGATCTGCATGTATCTCTGCTACACACATACAGCACCTACAAGACAGTGGGTGGTTTTGGTGGCCTCACCCCAGCTCCCCCCCAAGCCTTTGGGCCGATCGCTCGCCCGAATTCGCCGCGCGCGAGAGGACGGGCGGCTGCTGATCCGGGAGCCCCCGAAGTTGCCGAAGGACGCGGCGGCGGTGCCGGACGGCGCCGAGGAGCGCGGAGGGGAGCGAGTTCAGAGGACTTCGCCTCCTGCAGACCGGAGGGAACCCACAAAAATTGGGTCCCCCAGCCAGGTGCCCTTTCTCTCCCCTTTCTTTTTTGGTTGGGAGGGTTCCCCTACGAAAATAGGCTACAGAAAAAAGTAAGAAAGGGTACCCTTATTCTAACCTGTCTACTACTCAGGAACCCACAAAAAGGTCAGCCCAAGAGGAGGTTTTACTTAGCGTGTCTTTCTTTTTTTCCGGGCTCCAGGTTTTTAATGTAGGAGGGTAGCTCACCTTTGGAAGTCTTCGCCTTTGTTTTGTTTCACTTTGCGGCTCGAGCAACCAACAGTCATCACTTTGCAGGAGTCTAAGTCTGGTCAAGACTCGCAATGAGACTGGGGTGGGGTTCTTTAAAGCCACAACCTGTCATAATTGCAGGCAAATGCTGTGTGATTTTTTATTTAAAGCATCTTATATACATTGCTCGCAACTTTCGGGGTGGGTTTGAATAAGGCGTATGGCATTTTTCGGGTACGCGCAAGACGCACTTGCTTTGGTGTGTGGGTGTGGGGGTGTATGCGTGTGATATGTTTTGGAGATGGTACACTTGTTGCCTTGGTTCAAGTTTTGAAGGGAAGCCAACTGAAGAATCATATTTCCTCTTTTTTTCACAGACACATGCCCTTTTTGTTTGGCACATGTTGGAGAAACATGCTTTCCCATGGTACCTATATAGCTCTTTTTTTGCAAGGGGATGGGCTTCCTGAGGGCTAATAGCCTGGAACGCGCCTGTTCCCTTCAGTCAGCTTTCCACAAAAACTCGGGACTTCGGCTAGGCGACTATGTGGGTACTGGTTGATTGCGATGGAGGTGCGTCTCCACTAAATAATCGGGGCTTCAGCCCACTTTTGGAGGGGGCCCCACCCCGCCTATTGCAAGTCTGGGCGGGTCCAAAACGTTTGGTGGGTCAAAACCCTGGTGACAAACAACCAATCTTAGACAATCCTACGCATATCATATATGCCAACATTTGACCTATTTGTTGGCACTAGCCACATGGCTGTGGGTCAAAGCCAATGGTGCCATTTTGGGGTAGGTGCACCACCCAATTTCGTCTATTTTAGTTGGGATTGGGATGTTCACTGCGGGTACGATTTGGATTTGACCCATGGCCACATGGATTGGTTGGGGATGTACCCCTGAGCTGCAACGTGTCGGGTCAGCGGTCGGGCAGGTCTGCCTCAACCTGGAGATCCTGGCGGGCGGCAAGCGGATGATGCGCTGCGAGGCCCTCCGCACCTCTGCGGGCAGCGGGGACTTGAACCTACCGGAGGAGCTGGAGCCGCTGGGACGGGACGTAGCCCTGCCGGGGTTGCGGGGTGGGGTGGGGTGGGGTGGGGAGGGAGGGGGTGGGGGGGGAGGAGGTGGGGTGGGGTGGAGCATTTGCCAAAAGGATCCCCTGCCTCACTCATGGAGCTTTAGCCACTTCTTGCGTACCAGCCAATGGAGCAACTTTTGAAGGGGGCATCCCGTGACTCCTGCAATTAGGTGCTTGTAGGCACCTCTGAAGGCCATACCGAGAGCCATCGTCATCTGAAAACCTTTGACCCCTGATTGGCAAAACCAGCTACGCTGCTACCAAGATTGACCTGGAACCTCCAAAATCCCGTCCTTTAAAGGAGGAGCTTATGCACTCTTACTGAGGGCCTGAAAGGAAAATCCAAGCAACCGCCATGATGAAGCGAAACGTTTGGAATCAGGCCATTGGAGGGAACACATGGCCAATTGAACGGGTTCTACGATCCACGGTCAACGGGGAATGTGCTTGGATTTTAGTCGCTTGGGAAGACGTTTTGAGTTGCAGAATGGGAGACTTGTCCTGGGATTTGTTGGCTGAGGGGAGTTGTTCGGGGCCGAGATGGTTCCAAAAGGCTAAGCTGTGAATTCCAGGTCTTATGGGCAAGTGCCATTAATACTAGCGCCGAACGGGGCTAACCAAGATCTGGTGGGGTAGGCGAACTGAGTGCTGCTAGGGCTGTGTCTTTGGCTAGGAAACAGGGACACCCCGAAATCTTCCAACCAGAATTAGCTTTTTGCTCTTTTTTGCTTTTGTGGTTTTCCCTTTGTTTTCCACTAAGCAGGCAAAACATATTTTTTTTGCTGGGGTTCTAATTCCAGCCAAGAAATGAGTTTCGGGCTGAGGCTTGCGATCCCGTGCTTGAAGCCCGGGGGCGTCTTCACGGCTCTTTGCCGCCTGGCGCAAGAAGCAAGGGAGGAGCCGGTGAGTCTTACCTCAAGCTACTAAAATCTTGGAAAACACGAGAGAAAGCAACATGCCCGCAGGTTTCTCCAGCAAAAACCAGAATATGTTTTTGCAAAACCAGGGAAAACCTGGAATTTTGTGTGGGAGTGAATAGCCCATGATACATACGCGTTTGGCTCTAAATGAGGGAACTGAAATGCACCTGAGGTTCGGTTTCTCTTTGAATTTCTTACCGCACGTCTCTCTTTAGCATCTTTGCAGTTTCATAGCCGTCTTCCCTGCCGCAATGTGAAGGGCAAAGAGTCGGATTTGCTCGGCTTTGTTTCACTCCCTGGGGTTTCGGGGTAAGCCAGATGCGTTGCACACGTCCCTGGACCTTGGAATGTTCAACCAACTAGATTTCTCTTTGTCTGGTGTCAAAGGTCATGAATTGAACTGCCAAGTCATATCTTTCATGGAGTCCTTGCGGCTCTACAAAGATCATCGGCGTGGCCATGCCGAAATCGGTGATGGTGCAACCTTGCCGGCGAAGCTGCAACCGACTTGGTGGAGCATTCAACGAAATTTCTTACGCGCATGGAGCCTCATGTCAGGCCGTTGGAGACAAGATCCTCGGGCTGTACTCTTCTCCTGGTTTTCCCTGAGATACATGTCATTTTTTAAGATTCTGGTGTTCCTTGCGGTTTGCCATTAAAACCGCACAAGACGGGAACCGGGTACCCGTAAAGAAAGGCGCGACACATGTATAGTTAGTGGGGCTGAGCCTCATTTTTCTTTGTGAGTTATGCTGAATAGAACTAGCAAGTCCTACGCAACTTCTATCTGAAATTCAAGAGGATTTCAACAAAGGACATACTCCAGTCGTAATTTTCTATCTTAATTTTCGCATATTGACTCTCATCGGGCGGGTGTCTCGACCGAGGTCGGCCCTTCGGTCTGGGCGAGCTCCCCGCCACGGGGCTCTGGCAGAGTTTGGTGGCCTGCGGCTCGGGAGGAAAATCCGCGCCACGTCCTTTCGACCGACCCTCGGCCCACCCATACTGTGGATGGACAAAATCTATTTCGCACCACCTAAGAAATCCTAGAAGGATGATTCCCCTGTAAATACCAACGAACAATGGTGTCTCATGGTTGCTTAGTGGTGCAGGATTTTGTCCATCCACAGTAGGGATCCTTTTTAGGTGAGTTTGGTTAAAATGATTCCACTTACCAAAATCGATGCATCTATTTTGAACCAAAAGGCCACCTATGCCCCCACCAGGCCCACCATGGTTTGGTGCCTTCGGAGCCCTGAAAGACTGAGTGTTTTTTGCACTTCCATGTTAGTTGGTGGGAGGGTGTCCAAAATTGGCTTTAAAAGAGGGAGCTGAGGAGCTAACATGAGTCTTGTGAGGACATCGGAATTCGTATCCAGCACTCCCTGCCCAAACCAACCCACTAATGTTAGCTCCGGATTAGTCAACCCCAGTTTATTAACGGAAGGGGTGTTTCTGGGTGTGGGCAATGAGACCACTTTGGACCGTCCCGCCTATTAATAGGTAGGAGTCTACTTCAACCTGCTGTCAACAGAACCGATAGTCTCGTCTCGCGCAGTTCCATCCGTCCATGGCGTTCATAGGATTCACTTTTCTCCCAGACCTTCCCTTGAGGCCAGTTCAGTTGCCTTTGGGCGGCCAGCCTTTGCTAGGCGGGTTCCCTTGTTGCATTGAACGCGCCACTAACCTTGGATTTGGGATGCTCCCTTTGAACAACCCCGAATACCCCAGTGGATACATTTGACCTTGACCAAGGGAGCCACAAAAAATAAAAATAAACTGCAGGAACATTGCTGGTTACCCACCATTAGGGCTTGCCTGGGATTCACCGGGCACAGCACACATTTGCAACCAACAATAGCCATGGCTGTTGGCGCCAGCCAAGGTTATGGCAAGGAGGCGGGGCTCAGGGCTCGCGTCGTGGTCCTTTGCTCAAAGATACTTAATTCAGGTTTCAGAGTTTTGGAAGCGTTAGCATGGTCTGATCTTGGGAAGTGTAACCCCCATCCACCAATCCAAACAAATCACAGAGAGGCTGACCGCTGACCGGAAAGGCTGCCCTAGAAACAAAGAAACACATGCCCTTCACCTTGCATGAGCTTTGTCCCATCCTTGAGGCCTTGAGGTTCCCTCAGCCCAAAACAAATCCTTTGACCTTTGCTTTTCCGTTTTGAGCCCAGGTCCGTTTTGGATCCTTTCGGCTGCCCTGGTGACTCTGGTTTTTCGTTGTGAGGTATGGACGCTTATGTGCCAGTGCATTGCCAGTGCATTTTTTCCCCCATGCAAAAAGGAAGCACGTCGCCGGCCAGAGGCCCGGCAAAAGCGTCTGACCATCTTGGACTTGCTCCAGAAGACTTCATACGTCAATCCACTGAGCGGGGCAAAGGGACAGCGACTTCAATGCAGCGCATTCGACTTGGTGGTGCCTTAATTGATGTGCAAAGTGTTTTATGGGTGTGTCTGTTTTTCGAGGATGCTCAGGGTCTTAATGGACCATCAAAAGGAAAGCCGCAAAATTCCGAAGGTTCCGACCTAAAGAAGGTCTGGACACAGCCAACTACTCCTCCACCTCCCATGGCTCCCAATGGAAGTGCTCTCAGATGGCTCCAGGCGGTGCTGAAGCTGGAGCTGCTGGAGGTCCAAGACCTATGTCTCGCTACGCTGGAGGGCCACGAGCGCCTGGACTACGCCAAAGGCGAGAGACTCATGTCGCGAGTGGGTGGGGTAAGGTGGGGTGGGGTGGGGTGGGGTGGGGTGGGGTGGGGTGGGGTCAGGTGGGGTGGGGTGGGAACCAGAAGGCCCCCACCCCTCTTCAGCCCTGGGGAGGAGTTACGAAGCCCTTTTTTTTGCATGCCGGTTGGCATGCACCCCATGGATATTGGAAGTCATATCCAGGCGAACGGCGGACGTTTGTCCATCCACAGCCAAAAGTCATACTTCTTCTCGCTTTCCGGTCTTTGTGCAGACACTTCCACCCCCCAAAACCTTCAGTTTTGCCTTTTTTCCCTGCAGATTCTAGTCACCATGCGTTGTTTCTTTAGTTTTTTTGCAGCGTGCACCCCTTGATTTCCAGGGAGTTGGACCCGGAGTGGAAAACCACCGCGGACTTCAAGGGGAGGGGCTCCCTTTTCAACGGCCCTCGCGGGTGGAAGCCTCGGGTCCTGGAAACCTCGCGTGACTTCGCCGTGGTTTTGGCAGGGCGCAAAGAGGCGGCAGGCCGCTTCTTCAAGCGACAGCGCTTCGAGGCGGCCTTGGAAAGGTACTCCCTGGCGGCGGAGATGCTCACGCAGAGGGACGACATCAAGGAGAAGCCGGGCCCGTTGTCTTTTCTTTTTTAAACATGGCGGGCTTTAGGCTTTAGGCTTTAGGAGTGTGACCCCGAAGGAAAGGGACCTGTTGAAAACACGTGGCAAAAAGTCCATCTACAACAGCTTAGGCCTTGTGATCACCGGGGAGGAAGAAAGACATGGTTCCTTTAATGGCTATTCTGGCCATGATTTTGACCGGCTTGGGGGTTGTCAAAATCAGAATTAGGATTTGACTAAGATAAGTGTACAATCATGCGGCCAGTTAGAGGCTACATCCTAGATCCACAATTTTAACAAGGGCATCCTCTAAGCCCGCTGGTATTTGGTGAAATTACATGGCAGCCAAGGACATGGTGGATTTGCCACAGCAAAACCACCGCCATCTGGTTTGGTTTCGATTCGGGTCCCTTTCCCTACAGATGGTTCAAGACCCTTCGAGGGGAACGAACAGTTGTTTCAACATGTTTTTTCGTTCAGAGATGGGGCCCGGTATCCAAATGTGCCTTTTTTTAAGGGGGGCTAAGGAGCTGCCGGTAGGTGCATGGTAGTCAACATGTGCGTGTTCCTCAAACATGATGAACAGTCGCCCCCACTGATTCCCTAAAGCTACGCCGACCCCGAAGTGACCGCCTTGGTGGTTCCCAGCCATCCCGTTCGGTTTTTAGAGGTGGTTGGTTCAGTGGTGTTGGGTTTCCGAATTCAACCCTTCCCCGTTGTTCACTTTCAGCGGGAGCCCAGTTTAGGGCTCCCAAAAGGGGGGGAGCTTCGGGGAAGGGAACAGGGAGCCGATCAGGTCTTGGATCCATCCCGTTCCGTTCGCGAAAAGCGAAAAGCGAAAAGCGGAGGACAACGCGCTGTACTCCCAGGCGCAAGAGGTGAAGTCCCTGTGCGAGCTCAATGCCGCGACTCGACGTCAGTTCGGCCAGTTCGGCCAGTCGGCCAGTGGACTGACAGCATCTCAGAAGCGCTGAGCTTCTCATGTTCGGAAGGTGGGCGGTTGCTCGTTTTGGGACCCGCAGCGGTTCGCATCTTGAGGGAGGGTCTTTGAATCAGCCCGAAGTTAGATGAGAAACCACCCGGAGCTGAAGCACCAAGTGGTCACCGGCCTGGGTGGTGCGTGGTTCCGCTCAGTGGCTCAGGCCGCGTGCCTCCTCAAGCTGGAGAAGTGGCGCGATGCGGAGGCAGCGCAGATTTCGTGGAAGGGGCCAAGCTCCCCCAGTGCTTCCAGCTACCACTATACATTGGTGTGTGTGTGTTTCCTTCTTTTTTAAACAAAAATCAGACACCAGTGATGCTTAAAAAAAAAAACAAGCCCAAGAGCTTGGCATCACTAGGCCAGGGGGTTTTCCAGCGACTGAGCCATTGGGCCCGCCAAACAGTGATTTACTCTTGGCAGAGGTCTCGCCAGCAACCATGAGCTACCACCCTACAAGCAGGGGAAAACAGCGTGTAAAATCCTGAGGTGAACCTACCTGGATAGCTACTGCGGTGGTAACTGGAAGCACTGGGTAGTATATAGTTTGTTTGTTTTTTTGCAAGGCTCACCAAGGCCCACAGTGAACGGAGAGGATTTGACCTTAGGTAGTTTCCCTTTCTTCGGTTCCCATTTTTGGTCAGGGATCTAACAAGTGGTGTGGAAAAGGTCTTTGAATGTTGTAGTTTGGCTTTATTTCGCACACTGGAACCCCATCCTAACAAACTAGCAGGCATACCAGCCTGCCAAACAAGCCGAAGGGGTATCGATATGTGCTTGCCCGCCGGGCTGCCTGCCTTCCTGCCTGTCAGTTTGTTTGTTTGATTGCTTGCCTTCTTGTTTCGCTTGTTTGTTCGTTCCCTTATTCATTTGTTCGTATGTTCGTTCCTTCGTTTGTTTGTTTTTTTTTTAATGGTGTTCGTTGTGTGTTTGTTTGTTTCCGTGTATTGTGTGTGTGTGCGCGCGATGTTTTTGCATCCCGGCATGTCAGGCTGTGTGCAATGCCATCCTGAGAGCCAACCCCGCCAATGAGAAGGTCAGGATGTAGCGGAGGGGCCGACAGCGGCAGGGCCCTGAGGGACGCTTCATTTTGCGAACCTTTTCTGAGGGATTCGCAAAATTGATTCTGGGGGTAACCTTAACCCAGACAATCCATGTGGGTAATATCTACCAACATTTGACCCATTATTTTGAGGGGAAACGTTGGTGTATATTATCTACATGGATTGTCTGGGTAAACCACAGTTAAGACTGCAAAGCACTTTGCTGTGAAGATCTTGAAGGCTGAAAGTTATCAGTTTGGGGCGGCCTAAACTCGATAAAGAACTGCCATTGAAGCTAACAGGACCCACCAACATTTTGCGACAATCAATGCAGGTAATACAAACCCACACTCCAACAAATGGGTCAAATCTTGGTTTATATTACCTACATGGCCCTCACAATTCCTTTGAAAATTGGTCATTGCCCCACAAGTATGACGCGACTTCCCTTGTTTATTCTCACGACGACGTTGGGCATGCGGGAGAATTCTTTGTTTTTGTTCATTGTGTTTTTCCGCTCCTTCACTCCGGGGTGGGGTGGGGTGGGGTGGGGTGGGGTGGAGTGGGGTGGGGTGGGGTGGGGTGGGCTGGGGTGGGGTGGGGTGGATGGTTAGTCTGAGGGTCCAGGTGCATGGATTGTCCGGGACTTTGAGACACCCCGCGTGTCACGTGCGTAGACCTCTCGCGCGCGAGGCGCTCTTCCGGCGCGGCAAGGCGCTGCTGGCGCTGGGGGACTCGGCGCGGGCGTCGGCGGACCTGCGGAAGGTGCTGGAGGCCGAGGAGTTTCGAGGTCGAGGGTTGTGGTTGATCACTCGGGGCTTGTCCCCACTGTGAACTAGGTCCCCCAGCTAGGTGCCCTTTTACCGCTTCGTAACCTTTCTACTGGAGGACCTAGCCAAAGCGAATCGACCTTTTGACCTTTATGTTTTCCTTGAAGTTTAAAGGGGACACAACTCGGAAGCCATAGGTGTCCTTGTTAGTTGTTTTGCTTAAAAAATAGAAGGCGATCCTTGGTTTACCTGCTGGTTCAATCATCTACCAGGGAAACCCATCTATTTCCCCAAAAAGGACACCTATGTCGGAAGCCCTACCCGTGGAGTCTTGCATGGGCAAGCAAGGGCCGGCCACCCAATTTGGAAAAGCCAAATAGAGTTCCACTTGGCTGCTATTTTTCATTTGGTGGGATCCTGAGCCTTTAAGTTTGTAGGGGTATGTGTGTGTTTCTGCCAAGTCCCACTTTTTCTACTGGGGAGACTGGACAACTGGGGTCACAGGGGCAGGGGCTCAGGGTTCTATGTTCTAAAATGTTCTTCCAAGGTAGACTAAGGTAGACTTAAACACAGGGTAGGAAAGTCAACCGCTAGCTTTGAGCTTGCACAAATCAAAATGAAACCCTGGAGCGGGTGCCCCCCTAGCCGGTGCCGTCCAAGTGCCATAGCCCCATAGCCACACGCCTGACGAAGGGCGGGCGTCGGTTTTGTGGCCATGCGAGATCCGGTGCCAGCACTTTCGCAGCTGCACGGCCGGCGGTTTCTGCACGGCCCACCCAAAAATGGGGGGTGATCAACAGGTCCTATAAAGATGGGATGAACATTGGTTGGGAAAATGGACAAATTACACATGGTTATTTGGGGGCCAGGAATACCCAAATGGAACAAAAGCAAGTCAAAACACATGCCAAGAATAGTGAAGGTGAAGCTTGGTCGAATAGGTTGGCGTTCGGAGTAGTTGGAGCAGGGTTTTTGGAATTCCCTTTCAAAGTGCTTCAACTGGTCTGGTATTTGTGTCAAAAAATGGGGCGATCCGACAAAACCTTGGTGGCCTTTAAGCCACCTTGAAAAGGCTACCCGCAAACACCCACACAAACACATGCACACACACACACAGACACGCCAGACGGATTCTTAAACAACCCTGTGGGATCAATAGGTGAAAGCCTGGAAATGTCTGACGACGTTCAGGTGAATCCCAACAACTCGGAGGCCAAGCAGTTGCTGCAGCAGGCACGGAGAAGGGACAGGCGACAGCCGACGGAGTTGCCAAGCGGCCTCCCTGTTTAGGTGCCTAGTTCATGTGAGCAGCGTTCTAAATCTAAATACCCTGCCATTGAAAGTAATATTCGAGAGGAAATCTGGATTTGAAAATGCGGTATTTCCCTACATCACGGAAGGCCGCGTAAGGGTTCAAGGAAGGGTTTGACCACTTGCCCACTCGCGCAAGGTTCGCGTAGCCCGCTTGGATGTGCGTTTCCACAGCTTTTGTGGTTTCGCTGTGTCCGCGTAAGCGAAAACACGCAAAACAACCAACTTGCACAAAAAGACTCAATCGGCGTAAGCGCCGCGTAGGCGTTTGCAATGTAGACACCACTCGCGTAAGCTACCCTCGCAGCCGCGGAAGCCCCGTGTAGGCCTTCGCGCAAGCATGTTGTTAAGGTCTCTGGCCCAGAACAATGCTCATGTCCTTTTGCTAAATGGGGCACGCCCTGACCAGGACCCTTTTACTCATGGGGGAGGGTTCCCCTACTAAAAGAAACCCTTATTCCAACCTCTCTACTGGAGGACCTAGCTGACAAATCGTTGGACATACAGCATCACCGAAATGATGTGGGCTCCCGACGCCTCAGGCCAAGAAAGAGAGCAAAGGCACTGCGCGGGAGCGGAACGTCTACGCGAAGATGCTGCAGTCGGACTAATCGGAGAGCGGATGGGGATCCATCGATCTGGTTGTTCGGGGTCCCAAATGGGATTGTCTCAAAGCAGAGCCGGGACCCAAGTGGGCTTCGGTTCTTTATTTGTTTCCAACGCGTTGGGTCAAAATCCAAAAAAGACGTTCGAAAACATGTTTTGTTTAGGGGGGGCTGAGACGGCAACCCTTGAGCTAGGCATTTAGCATGTCAACCACACGAATTGGGCCAAGCCATGTGTTAGGCCCCGACCCAGTGATTCCATTTCCCTGGTTATGCAGGGAACCAAGGGAACCAGCCTTCAAGACTCGAAAGGAGCATGGCGAAGGGCTGGTTACCTACTATACTATCGGCCCACTCAGGCCATTTCAATCCTGAGTGTGCCCGAGACCCGCCTGGGTTCCGCCATTGGGGTCAACGGGTTCGAATCGCCTTGGAAGAATTCAGACCATCCCCAATCCATAGGTATTTTGTTCTCCAACATTTGACCAACTTTGAAAGGTAACGGTGGGGACATATTGCGTGGATTCTTTGGATTTCATGGCGCTTCGGTCTTGACCCAACCCCCAAAGGGACCTGTTGGAGACAAACCTTGAAAAAGCCTCGTGAGAATGGACAAGATATACTTCGCACCAGGTGTGTAACTCGCAGTTTTGGCATTTTACGTTGTTTTGCAAGTTTCCGTTTTGGTGTGGTGAAATTAACGGGTAAGACTAATACACAAAACAACTACTCGCTGGCTCTGAATGCATGTGTGTAGTATCAGTGGGAGCTAGCGGAGAGCAAACCTCCTGCGACCCAATCAACACATTGTGACCGGAATTGAGCTTTTAGTTTCCCCCTGTTTGGTCAATTTGTTGTCGCGGCCCCAAAAGGTGGACTTTGTTTTCTTGATCCTTCAAAACCAACTGAGTGTGACCTGATCCATGAGTTCTTCTATGGGAGCTTACATTATGCTTGATTGGATACATTTTCTAGTTCACCCAGCTATGTCGCTGGCAGCTCCAAGAAGCCAACGATGAGAACTCAGCGTTTGGTTTAACGCCTCAGAACGAGGCCTGTTTCCAAACATGAAACGGCAAACATGAAACGAGGACCCCCCGAACTGAGTTCATGGACTTGATGCGTAGCCTAGGTCCCCCAGCAATTGGTGCCCTTTTACCGTTTCTTTTTTGGTTGGGAGGGTTCCCCTACTAAAATAGACTACAGAAAAAAGTTGGCACCCTTATTCTAGCCTCTCTACTGGAGGACCTAGTTTCTGAGTGAAAGGCAAGCAAACAGTTTGGTTTTGTTGGCCAATCCACTCCGGAAGTGACGAGTTTCGTGTGTGATTTGAACTAATTATAGTGTCTGTTCCAGCCGCCAGGAGTGTTATGCGCTTGATCGCCGACACGACGTGAGGCAGAAGTTGCGCCCCTTTCAATTTTCCAACCGGCCAAGACGGCAAAGACTCCAGCGAGAGGAAAAGGCCAAAGATTCGGTACGGGGAGGGCCGCCAGATGAGCTGTTTCATCACGCTTGAGCTGAAAGCAAAGCCTGGTATTGCTGACCCTGATTGGGTTTTGCCCCCGTCTCGTTCGGGGGGCCCCGTTTGCCTGGGGAAGCTTCTGTTCCAGGGGTAGTCCCGTTTGGCTGGTCTCGCCCAGCTTATTGGGGGGGGGGTGGGGTCCCCTCGAAAAGTGCTCCGATTCCCACATCTCACCGGCAAAAAGCACCCTCTGAAATTCGACTGGTTGGTTGATGAAACATCTGGGGTCAACATGTTGGCCCCGGGATTGACAAACCGCTGTTTATTAAGTTTGGGCCAAGATTGGGGGTACTTTTCCGTCGGGTTTTAGTGCGTATTCCTCACTTTTTGCAGGGGAACATTCGGTGGTAAGCTGTCTTCCAGTAGTGCCCTTCTCTACCTTTTTCGGGGGAGGGTTCCCCTACTAAAATAGACTACAGGAAAAACAGTTGGCACCAACTTATTCTAACCTCTCTACTGGAGGACTTAGCATGTCTACATAGATATACTGATATACATATTGTATATATAATATACGTTTATGTAACATATGTGTATAACTACCCTGTGTATATATGTATGTATACATACTCACTCCCTGCGTTCTACTCAAGAACATTCGTCCTGGCGCTGTCCGATGGACTCAGGTCCAACCTCGCCTGGCGCTTGGCTCGTTCGGCACTTCTGGGCCACTCGGCCACGGAGGAGGCAGCAGATCAGGCGCAATCGGCAGCCTGGGGCCCTGGAGGGAATGGGGGCAACATGGGAGCTGGTGGTTGGAAGGGAGGCAAGGAGCCAGGGGTTTCCAAAGTTGGCTGTCAGGAGTTCTGCAGGGACATGGCAGGGATGTTCATTGAAACAAACAACAAATACTTGTTTAATGTTTCTGTTTGGGAGAGGGGGGTGGTTTTAAAGAGGAAGCCACCATGTTGGGGGTCCCCTAAAGATGCCCTTGCTGCCACTGTGTTTTTGTTAGGGGTCGCCCTTGGGGGGGGGGCGTGGTTTTGAAGCCAAGACCGAAATCTGTGTTCGGAGTCCCCGGAACTTTTCGACACATGCCCGAGTTTTTTGCTTTTGAACAACCACCCCCTCCCGAGAATCCAGGAATCCAGGAATCCGTGCAGATCTCTTGCTCGCTGCGGACTTTGCTTCATTTTTTTTCGTGACAGGCAGCTTTTGCAGAGATCGTACTCTTGTAAATGAGGGGAGTCAAACAAATGTTTAAAGTCAGGTCACCCTTCGTTGGTGCTGTGGATTGGTGGTTTCTTTTTGGATTTGAACCCCTGGCTTGCGCGCTAGGCTCTGCCATGGCATGGGCCTTTTTCTCTCGTTTTTTGGAGGGTGGCTTGCGGACCGCCCAAACACCAGCGCCCCCGTTTTTCCAGCGGGGAAGTTGTGGGCTTATCTGGCATCTCAGGAGCAGCTTTCACCGCAAGCCTTGGCCAACGCGCCGGACGGCCCAGCCTTTGTCGCGAAGGGCGCGTCCTCATGGTTTCCCTTTTGCCATGTGAACTGGGTTTGTTTTTGGGGTGATGGAAGTGGGGATCTGGGCAACTAGGGGCCTAGCCAAGTTGCGATCGCTTTTTTCAGTCACTGTTGCTGGTTTTTGGGGCAAAGTGCATGGAAAAAAGCAGCAACTGGCGATCCAGGGGGGTGTTTTTTGAGGGCACCATTTTGGGGGTTGCTTCAAAGGGAGACACCAAAAGGACACCGAAGCGAAGCCATGCGGTACCCTGTTTTCTTGTGTTTGGTCCGGGGTTCCTTCGTTCCTGCTTTGGGCCTCAAGTGGCATTTTTTGATTGGAACCCACCAGGTAACTTGGGAGAATCCAGTGACCGCTGTTAAACCAAAGGGACCTCCAGGAACTCCACCAGTTTGGGGCTCAATGTTATGAGACACGCCCATCTCCTTCCACCCTCATTTCAAGTCTGCCGATTTTTTTCGGAGCGATTCCACCGATCCGGGGGTGAAACGCGCGATGAGCCAGTTGCTTATTTCGGGTTTGGGTTTGGCTCAAAATGGGGGTACCCCCATTTACGGGTCGTTGTCCTTTAGTTTCCCCTTGAGCATCCCAAAAAAGGGACCCTCAAAAACAGACGTGCGCCTTGGAAGAGAAATTGCAGGTAAGGCCAGTTGATTCCACGAGCTGGGGGGTTCCGATACTACAAGGAGGTCCTTTCAAGGGCATGCGTCGTGTGGAATGTGCAGCAATACTGTGGATGGACGAAATCCTGCACCACCTAAGAACCCCGGAATGTTGATTCCCCTGTAAATACCAACAAACAATGGTGTCTCATGGTTGCTTAAGTGGTGCAGGATTTCGTCCATCCACGTTCGGAGTATCAAGCCAATGGAACTGGGCTACTTGGCGCCAGTCCAAAAATTACGTCCTTTCGAAGGGGCTCTCCTTTGCAGTCTCCCAATATGGAGGATTGGGACCTGTGCCCGCTCATAGGTGTCCTTTTTAGGTAACCCATGGCAAGAAGCAGATGGCACCGGCTTAGATACCTGGGATTCTTGTAGCTGTAGCTGTCCTATTTAGTTTAGTTTGGTCAGATTCAGTGGCTTAGATGGGTTGGATGAGCCAAGGTCACCTATGGCTCCAGTTTGCACAGCCCAGTTGAAGTTGAAACACAACCAACTGCTTCCACTCAGATTCCCTTCCCCTGTCCAGGGTCTAAAGCCAAAAAACTCTAGCCTTGAGTGGTGCCGGACGTTTTTTTCAAGTTGAGGGGGTTCCCTTTCAAGCCCAGTACTAACAAAGAAGCGTGCCCGTTTTCTCACATGGAAGTTCTTAAATCCACTGGGGGTCTGAGTGAATAAGGCTTTTTCCAACTTTCCCAAAGCGAATCGACCTTGCGACCTTTTGGTTTCTCCTTGTTGGTCCAGTTTTGGTCATGACCCCAACAGGTGATCACCTGATACATCTGGGTCGACACAGGGCAACTGATCGGGCAACCCCCTAGATGGTGGTCAGGATTGGTGGTTTGGATGTAGATTTGAACTTGGCTCTACCAAACCACCGGTCTTAATTTTCCCCCCAGTACTTAACCAGGAGACCACCAGGGATTCGTCTTTTCAGAAAATGGCGCTAGAAGTGGTGTGGTTTCTCAACAGAACGCCGGCTCAGAACGCCGGCTCAACAGAATAATGCACTTTTGGAATAAAGTAATTTTGTAGCCATGGGCGAGCAGAATAGATGAACCTTTAGAACAAATAAAATTCATGAGCTTTCTAAGTAATACAATGATCAGGGGTCCACAGTATTTTGGGGCGAAGCCACCCCGCAGATTGGAGCCACAGACTCATCGACTCGTAGGTCTTGAGCCTCCACCACGGCTGCGCACGTGCACAAACCAGCCGCTTGGTCGCACGAAGACTCTGCAGAAGCGGCGCTTGCAATCCCGCAGCTTTTGTGCTGGCTATCGCCCGGTCAATCCATGTAGGTATTATACAAAGAATGTTAGATAGAATGCTATATTATTGTATTTGTATATGCTCATGTATATATATATATACACACATATTTAGCGATATGCCAACGTTTGAGCCATTTAGAGGGTAAATGTGGCGTATTGCATGCATGGAACTTGGATGGAAGAGCCAGTTCGGAGTTTCTCAGAATGGGTGGTTTCGCCCCCCCCCCTTGGTGTTTTTAAGGGACACGAATAAGGGATACGAAAGGACACCGTCGCCACTTTAGGGGTCTAGTTTGATAACTTCATTTACCCCTCTTCGATGGAAGTGGGGAGGGGCCCGACTACAGGGCTCTAGTGAGCCCTTGTGGCAGCTTGAAAAGAGGGACCCCAGTGAAGGGTTTCATCCCACTTCCGCGAAGTGGATTTTCCAAATCAGCATTCCGGCAGAGTGTCGACGGACTCAAAATGGAATTCATGGTTGTTGTTGGGAAGCATTTTACATTTTGGCTTATTGTGGTTTAGTGGTTGAAATCCAACCACTTAACTGCTATTTAAAAATAAATAAAACAAATGCTCCCCTGCCAACGTCAACTAAGAATTTGTGGGTTTCAAAAAGGTGAAGGAATCCGAAGATTCCGAGGGTTCCCATTCCCTACAGCCCTGGCTGGGATTCGCGGGATTTGCCAGAAATAACTTAGCATCACCAGGGGTGGTTCCCTCCTTCCCTGCTGCGAACCTGCACGTTTCTCTTTCGGGATTTCGGATTGGAGTTGGCTCATCTCATTTTTTTTCTAGGGGTACCTTCCCCATTCTTTCCAGTGATCCTTCTTTCTACAAAACCTCCGGAAACCCAGGGAAAACGGCCGGTTTTTGGAAAGAACCATGGTTGAAAAGAATGGACAAATAATCAACCCCTAGATTTTTGGATGTTCATCCAGGTGAACCGGGGCCTGTGTTGAGGCCATGGCGGCTTTGTCCAAGCAGGCCCAGGCGGAGATCCAAGGTGGGGTTCCCAATCGCCTGACAGGGAGGCCCTCCAAACAAAAAAACTCATGTTTGAGGTATCCTTCCACAAATGCCGTGCTTTAGCGGGAGGAAGCGTACCAGCGGGTGCAAATGGATCTTGTGCGTCTATATGAAGAGACGATCCCCGAAACCGGAGGGTACTCGTAGAAATGGCAGACGGCTCCTTCAGGGTGTGAGACAAGAGAGGGTAGCGCAATCGCAGAGGCTCTACCACAGGCCGGAAGATTGGGGAGTGTCCTTCTTTTTGACAGCTCCCTTTTTGGGGTGGTAAGGGGACGCAACAAGGAAAACTGCCAATTGTGAGGGACCCGTTATTTTTGACAACCCACTGGTCCAGAGGTTTTCCTTAAGCTTCCCGTCCGCGTGAGCGGAACGGCGCCAGGGCTTTCGTTCCAGGGGCTGACAAACATGGCGCCAGAGCCCCAGGGCCTTTGGGCCAGGGGCGGAGCCCATCAATCCGGGGGGTGGTTCTGATGGGGCGCCGTAGGGAACCCCGTCGTCCCTTGGACTC